GGGCACCTGACTGACTCAGTACAGTGGATCATGCGACTCTTGATCTCGGGGTTGTATGTCCAAGTCCCACGTTGGGTATAGAGATTCCTTAAAAATAAAATCTTAAAAGAAAAGCATTTGTTACGGATTACATTGAATCTGTGGATCTCTTTGGGTAGTATTGTCATCTTAACAATATTAAGTCTCATCATCCATGAACATGGGATGTCTTTCCCTTCATTTGTGTCTTCTGTAATTTCTTTCAGCAACGTTTTCTAGATTTCCATGTATACTCTATTGCCTCATTCTTTCATTCCTAACTATTTTATTCTTTTTAATGTTATTGTAAATGAATTTTTTTCTTGATTTTGGGAGGAAGGTATTTTTAGTGTATAGCAACACAATTGATTTTTGCCTGTTGATTTTGTATCCTGCAAGTGTGTTGAAATTGTTTATTAGTTCAACAATGTTTGCAGAATCTTTAGAGTTTTGTACATATAATTTCCATCATCTACAACCAGACCTCATTGTACTTATTCCTTTCCAATTTGATTGCATTCTATAGTTTTTCTCCTAATTCTTTTGGCCTGGACTCCTTTCCTCTGTTGAACATGGGTGGTGAAAGAGGCATGTTTATGTACTATCTGATCTTAGAGGAAACACTTTCCGTGTTTCACCATAGAGTATGAGGCTAGCTGGGGGTGTTTCCTATAAGGCCTTTATTCTGTTGCAATCATTTCCTTCTATTTATAAGGCTGCCAGTATTCTGTATACAGTAACCGCTTCTTTACAGAAGTTTTTCACCATGAGAGTCAATCCACAGTGGTGGAAGTGAAAGCCTTCTTCAGCCTGAGAAATCCTGTAGATTGAAACTCTTTAATTCCTAAGGTGATGAAGACTGGGTGGGCTGCTCTGATTTCCTAATAAATTATAACCGTGCAAATACCTTCCCTACTTTACACAAAGCTGCTGGGGACGCAGAGATAGAAGGCCTGCAAGCCTTCCTCCCCACCATACACGAAAAGGTATATAAGGAGTGAGGCTTGATCTATTAAAGTCATAGAAGTTCAAGAAAGGAATCACACAGGAGTCCATGGGAAGAATTCCACCTGCTGATGAGGATGCTGGACATGGGCTAAGAGGTGTGTGGTGCTGATACTACAGAGATGTCCAGGCAGACCAGGCAGATGACTGAGGGCCAGAGGGGGACCTGAGGGTCAGAGGGAGAGGTACAGCCCCCTCCTTATAGATCGCCACCTGAACAAAGACACTCATCCTTCTGCAGACATCAGGGCCATCCTC